CAGAGTGATGTCTTACTTTCCCTCTCTCTGTCTCTCTGTTGAGCACAAATACCTTATGGCAAAAAACTAAAAAAACACATTTCTCAGATGTATCACCAAAAGCACAATCCATAAAAGAAAGTTAACAAATTGAACTTCATTACATTAAGAACTTTCATTGTTTGAAAGATACTGTTAAAAGAATAAAAAGTTTGGGAGAAAGTATTTGCCAATCACATATCTGACAAAGAACTTGGTTGCAGAATATAAAAAGAAGTCTTAAAACCTAACAATTAAGAAAATAAAACGAAAGGCTGGCAGGCGGTTAAGGGCATTGGACTCCCACATGGTTAACTGTGGTTTGCATCCTGGACCTGGTGGCTTGCTTTCTCTCTTTCTCTATCTCTCTCTGGTCAAATTGAAATAAATAAATAAATAAACAAAAAAATAAATAAAGTTAAATAAAATTGTTCTTAAAACAAAACAAAACAAAGCCCTACTTAAAAAATGAGCAGGCCATCTCTGTGGCCTAAAGTTTAAGGAAGTCAGATCCCACATGGCTGACTATGGTTTGTATCCTGGTCCTGGTGGCTTGAAAAACATGCCTGGTACATATGTAATGGAGGAGAAGGAATCATGGTGTGGTCACACCACCTTGCCCCATTGTGGGCTGCTTTCTCTCTCTCTCTGTTTCTCCATTTTCTCATTGGCAAACTTAAATGCTTTCTGACAACAACAACAAAAGAGCAAAAGACTTGAATTTTTACCAAAAAACCCCCAAAAAACCAAAAAAACAAAAAAAAAGATGTAAGTATGGCAAATATGCACATGAGAAAATTTTTATTATCAGTAGTCATCGGAGAAATTTAAATTAATACCATAATGGAGATATCACTATACAGCTGTCAGAATGGCTTAACTAAAAAATACTGAAACTATCAACTGCTGGAGAGGCTATGGAGCAACCAGAACTGATACACGTCTGGTGGGCAAGCAAAAACAGCTTGGCAGTTTCTTTTAAAGTTAAACATACATTTATCATAACCACAATGAAGGATTTACCTCAAGAAACAAAAACTTAAGAACTAGCCAGGTAGCATGGTGGTTAAGGTGGCTAGATCCCACATGGCCACTGTGCAGTTTGAGTCCTGAGAAACATGCCGGGTGCATGTGCATGCATGCCCGAAGTCCCAGGAGGAGAATGGAGGAGAGGAAACCAATCTATAATGACAGAAAGCAGATCAGTTGTTGCAGGAGGAGGGAAAGAATTACAAGGGAGCATCGATAAATGGTGGGGGGCAGCAGTTACCTTGATCATAGTGATGGTTTCGCAGGCATATAACGTATGGCAAAACTCATCCAATTGGACACTTGGATATGTGTGACTTATTGTATGTCAATTATATCTCAAGAAAGCTGTCTTTTTAAAAAAATATGCAAGTGAATCTAATGTGTAGCAAAGTTTGAAGACCACTGGAACATATTCATAACCATCCTAAATCTGTCAGTTTTGGCTTCCAGGTTGAGTTGCCAGAAAGCCACAGAGAGCTTTCTATTGTTCAGGTTCAGTCCTATTACAAACATGAAACTCACAGGATAACTACATATATATGAGCACACAAATCATCAGATCATTTCATTTTAGTATTTCAGGACCTGCATGTTAAGCCACAGGGAAGGACTAGATAAAAATTACTACTCTGAAATGAGTACAGCAAGAGACTCAAGCCTTTAAAGCTCTAGGGCTATAAATCATCCACAGTGCAGAGTCAATTCTGGATCTGATCATTTGGTGAAATCGCTCCTCCCATCCCTCATAAACTCAGCTTCTGTACTACCCTGACTTCATTAGAGTTTATTTGAACCCACTCCATTTTCTCTTTCTCTTTCCTTTGACCTGTTTTGCAGGGCTTCCAAGAATAGGTACTTAAATGTATTGAAGAAGTTGCTAACTTTGCTACATGATGCAAGACTTCCTTAAATAAGTATACTTCCTCTTTCTTCTCTATGACTCAGACAGGTCACTCTACAAAGGACCTGAAACTGCCTGAATGAGAATGGTCTAACCATCATGCCCAGTTTTGCTCAGAAGGAGGAGAATGATCTAGAGTGACAATATTTTAACCGATGTACATATGAACCACCTGGAGATTCTATCAAAATGCAGATTATGGGGATCAGCAGATGGCATAATGGATACATTGCTGGGCTCCCACATAGTTGACTGGGGTTCGAGTTCCAGATCTGGCAGCTTAAAACTCATGCTGAGCGCATATGCATGTGTGTGTGCCCAAAAATCCTGAGAGGAGAACAGAGAAGGGATTGTGGCATGGCCAATGGCCACCCACTCTGGGGGGTTGATTTCTTGCTTTCTGTCTCTGTCTCTCTGGTGAGCACACATGCCCTATAGCAAAAACCTCTACAAAAAGAAAAAAAAAAAAAAAATGCAGATTATGAGCCAGTAAGAAGGGGATGGCCATGAGATTCTGCATTTCTAACCAGCTTCTCTCTTGTGATTCTGAGGCAGAAGCAAATGACTTTCAAAGCCATTTCCTCCCTGAGACACTGAAGCAATAAGGACCCTAACAGGAAAGAGTCATTCAAGTCAGGGGAGGAGCCTGGGTCAGTGCTGCCTTTGACTGCACTCTCCAAGGTAGGAGCCCCCTGCCTTAAACAAATGTTCACACATCTGGTGAGGGTAAGGGTTTTCTTGCTATGAATAGCTCAGAACATTTAAAAACTGCTGGTTTGATTTTTCTTACCTTTTTCTGGAAAGAATTTGGAAAGATAGAGTGTTTTTTGTAGGTTATATGAGGGGGTCTTCAAAAGTTCATGGAAAACGTATTATGAAAAAAAACTATGCATGAGTTTTAAACTGTTTTGCACCAAAATAAACTTTAATTCAACTTGTTCCATGATTTTTTTTTTTCCTTTTTTTTGGAGAGGTTTTTTGCTATAGGGCGCGTGTGCTCACCAGAAAGACAGAAAGAGACATAGAGACAGAAAGCGAGAAATCACCCCCCGGGGGGATGGCCACACCACAATCCCTTCTCCTCCATGCTCCTCTCGGGATCTTGGGCATGCACAAGGGTTGAGTTTAAGCCACCGGGTCCGGGACTCAAACCGGAGTGGACTACATGGCAGTCCAGCGACATAGCCATTACGCTAACTGCTGGTCCCTTCTATGGACTTTTGAAACTATCATATTTAGGGGCTGGCTGGTGGCATGGTGGTTAAGGGTACTGGATTCCCACATGGTCGGCCATGGTTTGAGTCCTGGATCTGGTGGCTTGCTTTCTCACTTTCCCTTTCTCTCTCTGTCCCTCTCCAGTCAAATTAAAAAATAATAATAACAAATGGAATTGAAGTCAATAATTCTTTTAAAAAAAAACTATCATATTTAATCTAACTTAAGCCACGGTGGATCTACATGGGAGAGGTCCTGGGTTCATAATCGGGGACTTCCCTGAGCATGCCGGCATGTGCATGCATGCTCCTGGCCCAGGCTGGCTGAGCCTAGGGTTATCTCATGACATGAAGACTCTATTGGGGGTGACTGTCTCTCTGTCTCTGTCTCTTTATTTCTTGTGGAAGAAATAAAAGAGAAACTTTAAAAATACTTTTTAAAAAAAGCATTAGCAGGACCAGCAGATGGCATAATGGCTATGTGGCTGGACTCCCAGGTAGTCAACTGCAGTTTGAGTCCCAGACCTGGTGGCTTAAACTCATGGCAGGCACATGTGCATGTGTGCCCAAGTTCCCAAGAGGAGAATGGAGAAGGGATTGCAGCATGGCCATCCCCCCCGGGGGCGGGTGATGTCTCGCTTTCTGTCTGTCTTTCTGGTGAGCTCATGAGCTGTATAGCAAAAACCTCTTAAAAAAAAAAAAAGCATTGGCATGGTGGTCAGGGAGGCTAGATCCCATATGATTGGCAGTGTGCTTGAATGCTGGACCTGGGAACTTGAAAATCATGCCAGGTACACATGTGTGTGTGTGTCCAAAATCTCAAGAGGATAATAGAGAAGAAGGGATTGTGACATGACCATCCATCCTGGGGGAGGGGGTGCTTTCTCACTTTCTCTTTCTCTGTTTCTGTCTGTCTTCAGTGAGTGCATGTTCCCTGTAGAACAACAACAACAACACACACACACACAACACACAAAAATGACGGGGCTGGCTCCATGGTATGGCAGTAAAGTGCTGCTCAAGGGGTGCTAGATCCCGCATGGCTACCACTGTTGGAATCCCTGGCCCAGTTGGGTTGAAAAACATTCCAGGCAGAATGCTCAGGATCAGATATGCTGGAAGAATGAGGGAAGGGGATTTCAGTGTGACCAGACCCCATAGAGGGTTCTCTCTCTCTTTTTTTTTCCCTCAGGTGCATGCAGGCACTCTATTATGAATAAAGGGAGAATATTTCAATATTGAGGCATGAAACTCTAAACATTAGTATACTACTGAGACAATGGGCTGATTTCTCTAGATAGTGAGAGGATTGTAACATGTGTCCTGAATTTTCCTCTTTTTGAGGCAGAGATAACATTGGTAACAGCTGCAGTTGCTTCTAATGATTTAGAGTTATCGTAAAAGCTGCTGGAACAAATTGCAGGACAGTATTGAGGCGTGGTCATGAATCTTCCTAGAGAAGCTGGCCGAAGCCCTTGGGTGGGTCTTTCTCACCCACTGCTTGCTTTCCCCTCTGCTTTGTAAATCAGACTACATGGGTTTTCTCCAAATAAAATTCTTGATTTTTGGAAAGGAGCAGAGTGCTTTAGTTTTTCTTAAAACTGACACATTTAAACAGACATATTTCAAATATATGTGAATTTGTAATGTAAACGAAATGTTCTTGGTGTGCTTAAAATAGGCCAGTCTATATTTTCACCAAAATTCTTATTATGGATAATTTTCCATCTCAATTTACCTTGCTATTTAAATGAATTCATCATGATTTTCAGTGAAAATAACTGAGGAAAAGGTATCTGTAAATCTATATTCATAACTCTGTATTCCTTGTCCAGGATTTCTTATGAAGTGATTACAAGAGCCATTCTCTGTCTTTCAAGTCCATTTCTGCAGAAGAATTTGAATCACCACTGGAATGAATGTGGTAACGAGAGAGGTTCTGTCAACAATCTGTGACACGAGGGAAGGGAGTATAGAAGCTGGACTGTCTGGACTACGGTTTTGGATGGGGTTGGGGATTTTTGTTGTTGCCAGAAATCTCAAAGTTCAAAGAGAGTAGAAAACCATATTGATTAGCTCTGGACTGGTCAAAGACTAGATTTATATTTGAATTTAACTAATGTCTTACACATGGTCTTTTTTGCGTTTAAAAAATTTTGTACCTCTGGTTGTTTAAAGACTAGAGCCAGCTGAAAGCAATTCCTCTTCTTGTCATTTCTCCTCCAAATCACAGCCATTTACTAGGTAGGGAGATATTAAATCTCTAGCAGCAAAGAGAGTGTGATGAGCCTAAATGACCCATGATCCCTAAAGTTCTGATTGGCGCCACGAGTTTCATGGCTTATTTTTCTACCTAAACCTCCCACTCTAAAGGCCACATATACAGGGATGTCTGGAGAACCAAGCTTGACCACTTGCCCATATGCCAATTCATTTTTCTCTTGCCTAGCGTATCAAAGGTATTTGGATCTGTTGATGCAAATTTCAGCCCCATCAGTTAATGTTCATTAAAAATGTTACTAGTGTTATCGAGTGCATTATGCCAAGCACTTTACACATATTATTTACTTAATCCACATGATACCCATATCATAGATGAGGAACCTGAGGTTCAGGCAGGTTAGATAACTTGCCTAAGTCCTCAAGGCCAGGATCTAAAATACATGTGATTTAACCCTGAAGCATGTGCTCTTAACTACTATTGAATTATGTTTCCTTTCCTCATAGATTCTCATAGGACTTGGGAACTAAAGGAGTTTTGGAAAGGGACAAAGATCTGATGGATCTTCTAATAAAGTCGCCTTAAAGCTTCACAGTTATGCATTCGTTCAACAACAGTCTTCTCCTGCTTAACTCTTGCAGAAACTTTCTTTCTTTTTTGTTATTTGCCACAGGGCATGTACACTTGCTGAAGAGACAAATAGAGAGAAAGGGAAAATGAGAAATCACCTCCTAGGGGAGTTGGCCATGCAGCAATCCCTTCTCCTCCATTCTATTCTCTGGATTTTGGGCAAGCACACACAAGTCCCCAACATGATTCTCAAGCTGCCAGGTCCACAGTTGGCCATGTGGGAGTCCAGTCCTTCAACCACCGTGCCACCTACTGGACCCAATACTCCCTTTCTTTTTAAAAATTTGCCATAGGATACATGAACTCACCAAAGAAGGGGGAGAGAGAGAGAGAGAGAGAGAGAGAGAGAGAGAGAAAGGGAGAAAACACTCCCCAGGGGGAATGGCTATGCTGCAATCCCTTCTCCTCTATTCTCCTCTTGGGACTTTGGGCACACATGCCTATGGGTCTGGCATACTTTTCAAGCCAGTGTGTCGAGAATTTGACGTGTGCACCCAGCCATATGGGATCCAGCATCTTAACCATCATGTTACCAGCTAGTCCCAGAGCATACTTTCAACTAAAAGTCATAGTTATCATTTCATAGCAGACACCTTTACCTGATAAGTTCCTCTTCTACCTCACTGATTTATCAAGTCCATTTCTGCAGAAGAATTTGAATCACCACTGGAATGAATGTGGTAACGAGAGAGGTTCTGTCAACAATCTGTGACACGAGGGAAGGGAGTATAGAAGCTGGACTGTCTGGACTACGGTTTTGGATGGGGTTGGGGATTTTTGTTGTTGCCAGAAATCTCAAAGTTCAAAGAGAGTAGAAAACCATATTGATTAGCTCTGGACTGGTCAAAGACTAGATTTATATTTGAATTTAACTAATGTCTTACACATGGTCTTTTTTGCGTTTAAAAAATTTTGTACCTCTGGTTGTTTAAAGACTAGAGCCAGCTGAAAGCAATTCCTCTTCTTGTCATTTCTCCTCCAAATCACAGCCATTTACTAGGTAGGGAGATATTAAATCTCTAGCAGCAAAGAGAGTGTGATGAGCCTAAATGACCCATGATCCCTAAAGTTCTGATTGGCGCCACGAGTTTCATGGCTTATTTTTCTACCTAAACCTCCCACTCTAAAGGCCACATATACAGGGATGTCTGGAGAACCAAGCTTGACCACTTGCCCATATGCCAATTCATTTTTCTCTTGCCTAGCGTATCAAAGGTATTTGGATCTGTTGATGCAAATTTCAGCCCCATCAGTTAATGTTCATTAAAAATGTTACTAGTGTTATCGAGTGCATTATGCCAAGCACTTTACACATATTATTTACTTAATCCACATGATACCCATATCATAGATGAGGAACCTGAGGTTCAGGCAGGTTAGATAACTTGCCTAAGTCCTCAAGGCCAGGATCTAAAATACATGTGATTTAACCCTGAAGCATGTGCTCTTAACTACTATTGAATTATGTTTCCTTTCCTCATAGATTCTCATAGGACTTGGGAACTAAAGGAGTTTTGGAAAGGGACAAAGATCTGATGGATCTTCTAATAAAGTCGCCTTAAAGCTTTTATGTTATGCATTCGTTCAACAACAGTCTTCTCCTGCTTAACTCTTGCAGAAACTTTCTTTCTTTTATTTGCCACAGGGCATGTACACTTGCTGAAGAGACAAATAGAGAGAAAGGGAAAATGAGAAATCACCTCCTAGGGGAGTTGGCCATGCAGCAATCCCTTCTCCTCCATTCTATTCTCTGGATTTTGGGCAAGCACACACAAGTCCCCAACATGATTCTCAAGCTGCCAGGTCCACAGTTGGCCATGTGGGAGTCCAGTCCTTCAACCACCGTGCCACCTACTGGACCCAATACTCCCTTTCTTTTTAAAAATTTGCCATAGGATACATGAACTCACCAAAGAAGGGGGAGAGAGAGAGAGAGAGAGAGAGAGAGAGAGAGAAAGGGAGAAAACACTCCCCAGGGGGAATGGCTATGCTGCAATCCCTTCTCCTCTATTCTCCTCTTGGGACTTTGGGCACACATGCCTATGGGTCTGGCATACTTTTCAAGCCAGTGTGTCGAGAATTTGAACTGTGCAACCAGCCATATGGGATCCAGCATCTTAACCATCATGTTACCAGCTAGTCCCAGAGCATACTTTCAACTAAAAGTCATAGTTATCATTTCATAGCAGACACCTTTACCTGATAAGTTCCTCTTCTACCTCACTGATTTATTGGGTAAGTCTCCTGTAGCCATGTTTGTATTTTAAACCTCTTCCCCCATCTCTCGTCATAACTGAGTGGGTCCCATGCTAGGTCATAACTGACTGCAGAGTCTCCTTGCATAATATTGATATCTTTGGCAGTCAGTCACGAGACTACAATCCTTGTAGGATAGGAAGGATGGCCTTCAGGAGACCTGTCACAGTGGCTATGGTGGGGCCAGAACTGTTAACCCCTCTGCATCCAATGATCTCTGAACTCTGAAATGGACCAGAGACTGCTGCAAATATTTGGCACTGCACTCTTCTTCTGAGAAGGCACTTCAGGGAATAGAAGAGAGGAGTTTCTTTTTCAGAGACCTCATTTGTGGGGTCCTGTCCTTTTGCCTTTTTTCTCTCCAATGTGTCTCCAGCTTGCCTAGGACTGGGAGAGCAACGATAGTAGAAATTGGGCAAGCCAGCGTCATTGGCTCAAGCCTATATTTACTCTCTATGCAGTAAGTGAAGTCACTCTACTACCTACCGTATGGGAGATCTCAACCATCAATTCATTTATCTATCCATCAGGTAACTACAGGTGAATAGTTCGGGTGTTCATTTCAACCTGACTTGATTTTGCTCATGAATCATGTGTTCATGTTCAGCTCCATTTGCTCTTCCTAGTTCCACTCTCCCCTTTGCTCTTGGCCCAATCATTTCTGATGACTAAGGAAATAACTCTCTTTCTCTGTTTTGATTTTTTTTTTTTTTTTTTTTTTTTGAGAGGTTTTCGCTATTGGGCGCGTGTGCTTGCCAGACAGACAGAGAGAGACATAAAGACAGAAAGCGAGAAATCACCTCCCAGGGGGGATGGTCACGCCGCAGTCCCTTCTCCTCCATTCTCCTCTCGGGATCTTGGGCATGCACGCACATGCACCCGGTGTGAGTTTTAAGCTACCGGGTCTGGGACGCGAACTGCGGTCGACTACGTGGGAGTCCAGCAACATAGCCATTACGCTAACTGCTGGTTCCCTCTGTCTGGATTCTTTTCAGTCATTAAAAAAATTTATTATTGGGACCAGCCGTTAGTGTAGCAACCGCGGTTCACGTCCTGGACCCGGTGGCTTAAAACTCACGCCGGGCACGTGTGTGTGCATGTCCAAGATCCGAGAGGAGAATGGAGGAGAAGGGATTGTGGCATGGCCATCCCCCCTGGGGGGTGATTTCTCACTTTCTGTCTCTCTGTCTCTCTCTGTCTGTCTGGCGAGCACACGTGCTCTATGGCAAAAACCTCTCCAAAAAAAAATTATCTACCTGTCATGTCCCTGATACTATTCTGGTCATTTAGGATATATTTGTGGACAAAGTAAGTGGATTATCTATATTCCTCCCTGCAGCCATAAATATGACAAAGATATAAATTACCTATGATGTTAGACATATGTGCTGACAAGAAAAGAACAAGATTGTGCAGGTTAAGGGGGATCAGGAGTGTTGGGATGTAGGGGAAAGGACAGATGGTCAGGGTAGACCTCATTGAGAAGTTGAGATAGGAACCCTGAAGGAATGGGAAAGTCCATTGAGCAGATACCTGGGGCAAGATTGTTTGGGTAGAGAGCACAGTTAGAGCAAAGACCTCAATGTAGAAGCATGCTTAGTGTGTCTGAGCAACAGGGAGGGGTCTGCAAAGAGGAAAGACGAGAGTGTTGGAAGAAGAAGATAGAGTGCTGACTAGTGCAGAGTGGGGAGATAATGTGGGGCCTGGTTGGCTATTGTAAAGACTTTGTTTTTCACATTGAGAAAAATGGGAAGTTATTAAAGAATTATCGTGGGGCCGGCAGGTGGTGTGGTGGTTAAGGGCACTCAATTCCCACATGACCGACTGCAGTTCAAGTTCCAGATCTGGTGGATTTCTTCCTCTCTGTCTCTCTCTCTGTCCCAAATAAATAAATAAATAAAGTTAAAAAGATAATTCTAAAAAAAAAAGAGTTATCCTAAGAGAAAAGGGGAGGCTCGGAGATACTGAAAGGTTTGATTAGAGAAGCAATCTAAAGTATACACACATATATATTTTTTTACATTTATTTATTTATCTATTCATTGTAATTTTCAAGCTGCCATGTTGGGACTCAAACCGTGGTAGGCCATGTGGGAATCCAGTGCCTCAACCACCGCATCATCTGCTGGCCCTGAGGTACAGTTTGAAAGGGTCATTGTGGCGGCTGTGTTGAAGGCTAGAGGGGGAGCAGGGGGCCTTGATAGGAGGCTATCACAGTAACCTAGATGAGAGATGAACTTTGACCAGCCAGCAACAATAAAGGAGCTTAAGAAGTGATTGGATTCTGGCTGCATTTTGAAGGTAGTATCCATTCCTGCCAGATCTGATGTGCATATGAGAGGACGGCAGAAGCCAAGGATGACTCTCCTTTTCTGGCCTGAGCAACTGGAAGAATGGAGTTACCAAGAGTCGTGATGGAAAGGCTGCGAGTAGATCAAGGTTAGGGGAACATGTCAAGAGTTTTAAATATCTGGAGTTTGGAGACATGGAGCAGACAGCTGGCTACTTGAGACTAGAGTTCAGGAAAGAG